ATCTTATTAAGGCGATCCCATTCATCTGAGGCCTCTAAAAACTTGTCTTTTTCACCCAAAGGTTCATTTTTCTCGCACTACCTTTGCTGGTCTTAAGCACCAGGCCACCCGACTGGTGAGCTAGAGATTTGATGTTTTGCCTCAGGCAGCAGATAATGTCTTGGGCCAGCTATGTAGCCGTTTTACTAAAGCTGGCAATCCTGTCTATTTTTCCCCTAACAGGAATCATTTCCTCTCATTTGGATAGCAGTAGATGTCAACTCATATCCAAATACTTTGAATTTGTTAATTCAGTTAGGGCAATGGCTACATGTGGTTTGGTTGGCAGTGATACAGCCAAACCTGTTTGGACTCAAAAGGTCTTCAGGATCAGGTTCCATCAACCATTCTTGTGATTATCCTAAAATGTAGTTTGTACTGAGTGCTAAACCAAAGAAGCAACACTAGAAGATACCTTCTGTTTCCAGATAGACTTCAGCTTAAAAAAGGCACACTCACTTGATTATTCCTTCAAATACAAAGCCAAATTGCAGTCTCCTTAACAGAGTTGCTAGTGTTGAGAAAACAATAGTTATAAAATATCCACTAAAACCACCCATACTACCCAGTATTAAATTAAAATTATTTTTTAAAAAGTGACAGAAGTCATAAACAAGTCATGGGGGCAGGTGGAGTAGAGGGAGTAGACCATTGTGCAATATTGCCTGGCATTGCTGGGCCTGTGAAGGTTTTACTATAGCTTTAGAGTGCTCTAGCCATGTTCCTGTTGAGTTTTTCCATCCTATGCCTAACTTTTGGTCAAGGTAGTATTTCACATGTTCATAGTGTAATCACATTTTCTTGAGAGTTTCTGGAAAACAACAAAGTGAACTTTTTTTTTAGGAGTTACAGGCAATAATAAGTAAAAGGGGAGTACTATAAGACAATTGTCATTTCTGGTCAAGACATGTCTCTATTAAGCCATAAAAATATTTTATGAACACAATTGAAATTAATTAGAGGAAAAAGAAAAGCTATAAACAGTATATTGAAAAAATACTGTAAATAACATGTAGACTATATGTCTAATAAAAATATAAACTCTAGAACCCAAATTTGAGATGTGTCACAATTCCAGTATAGAATTTTTGTCCAAAAGGGATTTCCAAGCAAGATTGAATTGTACATCAGATTTACTTTTTAGATGTGTGGTTATTCTAAACATCAAAGCATATTCCCACAGTTTAATTAATCATTCTTCCATAGAGAGGTCCATCAGAGATCTCTTCCAATAAAAAGCACATAAAATATTTGCAGCTGTCATCATATATAATGCCAGTTCAATGTATTTTGAAGAAATATGTTGTTTAGTGAAGTTTAGTAAAAATATCTCAGGTTGAAACAGAATTATGACTTTCAAATAAAGTCAGCTTCTACTAGCATACAAATACAACATATATAAGATTAACCATTTTTACTGGTAGGAGCATAGTGTTTTGGGTAACTGCAGCCTAGTAACTGCCAAGCAAATACAGTACCTTGAAAATTAATCCTGGTTTCTGTTGCAACCAAAAAGTATTTGCTGGGAACAAATAAAATGATGTCCAAGTATTCTTGGCCTTCCTTACTTATTCTTCAGTTGCCAGCTGTAAAACATCCCCATTTATTTATTGGATTTATGCCCTACTTTTCTACCCTGGCAAGTATCCAGAGTAGTTAACAAAGTAAAAAAACAAAAAAACAAAAAGCCACAAACATAATATTAAAAGTTAAAACCATAACTTAAATTAAGATCAATATGTTAATTCATACAGAAATAATTTAACTATTACAACTCTGGCATAGACATGCTTCTTTACTGCAGGTTTTCTAAATGCTGAGAGGGGAGGGGTTACCCTCTTCAAGACTTATTGCTGCCTCCTTTAGGCGGGGGGAACACATTTCTCCTGCAAGTAAGCATTGTTCACCCCCCTTACCCATGGGGCCAGTCCTGTCCAGGCCAATTTAATTGGCCAAAAGATGAAAGGGTCAAGTAAGCAGGACACACTCACGTTCCACACCCAGTGGGAGTAATGTGGACACACTTGGTCCACTTTCTTAAGTGAAAGTGCAAGCTGAAGGGAACCCTAAGCAATAGGATAAATGGCTGCTGAAATACACCTCTATGATTTGCTTTTATAGTAGAATGTAGCCTGAGCAGCTCCAACTAACTTTGTATGCAAAGAACAATGGAAACTGCCCCTAGCAAGCTAACAGAACTCTAACTCCCTCTATCTAATGTCTTGCTGGAGAAGATGCCACACACTGTGGAGAAGCAACATTTTCTTGTCCTGGGCAGATTCACTGGAGACTCAGAAATAATCTCAGCTGCCTCCACTGCAGTGAGGAAATAAGTCTAGCTCTCTTCTCAGTCACATCCATCCTGAACATCCCACCACTTGCATGCCACCTGAAGTCTCATCTACTTCATTTCTCTCAGTTGCCTAGTAAGCCAAAGGGCTGATTACAGTCTGTGAAAGGAAAGCAGGCACTTAGGAGGTCAAGCAACTGGGCAGTCTCCACACCCCGCAGACCAGCAGGGCATGCCTGAAGCACACTGAGGAGAAACCATCCAGCTCCATTGGGTACCAGGGTTGAATCATTTTAACCCAGTCCTCCACCTGCATCACACTTGCCAT